TTTTTTTTCCCCTTACTTTCCCTCTCTTCTCTATACCTTCTTCATCCTCCATGATTTCTCCAGAATGACATGGCTCCTATTTTCCTGCATAATTTCGGGTTGCCAACTCCCCCCCATACCCTTCCTCCCACCCACCCTCCCGTCCCTCCTCCACTCCTCCTCCTCCCTCTCCCTCCCCACCCCCCCCATCTCCCTTTAGGCTTACATTTTGCCTATGAATCATTTGTGGTCCTAACCCCACCTTTGATTCCGCTTTTAGTTGAAACTCTGATCATAAACTTTTCCCCAATAAGCGTGTCTCCTCCTCCGTGTCCTGCCATACTCTAGTAAACTTCAAAAATCATAAGAGAGAGGCAGAAATGGAGGGAGAGAGAGAGAGAGAAAAGAAAAAGGAGCGAAAACCCCCCCCCCTCCCTCCCATCTTATTCCTCTTTACTATTCCTACTCTCTATTTCTCCTTAGAGCTACCTGCCACCCCTCATTTTCGTTAGCCCACATTTTTTCTTCTTCCTCCCAACCAGGGATATTTATCTTCTGTATATCAAGTCTCTCACAGAAGTCTCTCAGATCTTCGGGGAATCTCAGTCTTGCTGAATGTCCGTTTCTCCATCCGATCAAACATGCTGGAAACCCCCAGCTATATCGAACATTCTGTTTTCTCATCTGTTCCAATAATGGTTTCAAAGTTCTCCTTCTTAATAATGTTTCCGCTGCTAAATCAGCAAAGATCTGTATATTTATTTCTTCACATTTTATTATTGCTCTTCCTTTTATCTTCTTCCAAGAGATGTAATAGTGCAATTCCATAATTTTTAGGATAAAGAAGAGCTATAGAAGGAGCATGCTTTGTTGTGATGTTCTCAAGAAAAAGTCTAAAATAGAAGAGTTTTGCCTGATCCTAATTATCTACTACAACTGTCTTGATGGTTTACAAGTCCAGAAATGTTTCTTGGATCCCTCTGTAAGAAAAAACGTACTCGGTTTTGGTGCAGCTTAAATTGTCTTTCAAACATTGTTGAAAGCTCTAACTCTTATTTGCATTGCTAAAATATGTTTTATCTGTGTCCCCTATGGAGAGATTTATCATGACTTCTTCACAGGAAGTGAGGGCAAATCTTCCCAGTAGGGACGCAGACAGCAATAAAACAGAGGCGTTAACCCTTTCCTGCTCTATCCCAAACAAAATATAAGGTTATGGCTAGAGTTGGGGTGTAAACAGATGTAACTACAATGCATTATGCTATTTATGTAAACATTTGAAGAATTTAAAAGCAACTCAACTTTTGTTGAGAAAAGAAATCCCCTCTGGGTTATATACATTATGTACATTGCAGGGATTTGAACACACTTTAATGCAGATTCCTATCTTTTGTTATTCTGGAAAAATACCTGTTTGTGTCCATGTGCAAAGAGAATCTGTATGAAAGTGATTTTATAATTATTAATCAGCTTCTGCACCTGCAAGGCTCTAATAAGGAAAGTGTCAGGGTCTGCATACCATTAGATGTAATTTTCCTTTGGGAATATCTCACCAAAAATGGCATTTTTGTTGCAGGGGATGACCAAAATTTGACTTGCATCTTAGTGCAGACTTCTGGGAAAATCAGTGAGCCAATCACACAAGCAGGACGGCCTCCAGTTTGCCATATTGCACTGCATTTTGCAGAAAATTACAACACTGCAAATTGAAAAGAAAGCTAATTTTTAATAATATCTAATTACAATATGCCTTGTGTAGCAATTGTACACACTATACAAATTTTTTTTATTTGCTATTTTTCTCCCATGAAAGTGAAGGAGACATGCAGCACAAAGTGACAGCTCCTCTGCCAAGGGCATTCCCCAACCTCCCTAAACTCAACCTAAATGTTCTCTCTCACAGATCATTGAATGTTTTTAGCTGGTGAGAATACCTGGTGACTTATCCTACTGTGATGATTTTTGGGCCCAGCAGCCAATTTCTAGGTCCTAGTACTGTTAAATTACCAGGGAAATGATGTCACAGCTCCCTTATGTTGCTAGCACAGTATATTTCAATACTGGCTGTGAAGGAAAAAGTATCTGCAAGGGAGTACAGTTGAGTACGTGGGTGGAAGGATGCCCTTTGCAGAGACTAGTGACAGTTTCTCTTTAATTTACAATTAACAAACAGAGACGTTTTCTTATACATATTAATTACAAGTTTAGCTTTGGATTTAGGAATTGCGTAACAGCAATAAACTATTTTCCCATATTTTTTATTGCATATGGCAGGAGATGAACATGAAATTGTATTTTATTGTTCCAATTTGAGGATTTTTCACCGTTCTGTTTTATCCTCATGATTTAATTAAATTACTTTTTTTTTTTTGCTGTATGTAATTTTAGGACCCTGTACAAATCATATTTGAATAGTAATATCATATCACAGATGCTCAGACATCTGTTGTCTATTTTGGTTACAGGTCTAGAGGCCCACCCAGCCCTCTGTTGTTTTGGCTAGTGGCTGCAGTGCCTACAATCATCTGTCTATCGGAATGAAACAATTCCATCTACGCAAATGATTCTGTAGTTTATGAGTTCAGGTTTGTCATATCCAGAAACTATACCTAGAAATGTTTAATGGATTGCAAAAGGCTTATTGCCACATTACAATGAAGCTTGACAATGAAAATCGATTCTAATTACAAACTTAGGAAGCCCCAGTAAAAATGATAAGCTTTTCCAGGCTGTCACCACCAGTGACCATTTACTGGCGTTGTATGTGCAATGAAAACTTTATATTGTTGGTTGATTAGCTTTCAGTTCCAGTAGCCTGCTATAAAGTGTGTGTTTGTAAATAGAATCACTGCTATAAACTACTTTAGAATTCTTCACATCTTTCACTGGGAATTGAATGTGGACATCCAGCATAAATCCCTATTTTCCCTCAGTAGAGTAGTATCCATGAATCACATTGTCACGCTAAAGTGATCATAATCTAACACTTCATGCCTCAGCCAACAATTTGATTTGTCTGGGGAAGAAGAATATAGATGGCCAAAGACATTGATTCCCAGTAGGATAGGCTCTAGTGCATTTGATGAATTTTTATTTCTAATAATTATAATTATGAATGTGCTTGTTTGAATGAGTTGCATTACTCCTAGGGTTTACCACCTATATAAGAAAATTTAGGTACAAGTCATAATGTTGTATAATGCTTGTTATCAGAGATTAAGTGGTGCATGCACTGTTCCAAAAACAAATAAATTGCAGTAGTGTTTTTAACTTTTACTTCATAGCAATTGTTATTGCCAATATTGTGATACATATCAATAAAGTGTATTTAATGCAAATTTGTTTTGGTGAAGGGTTACAACCGCTTCCATGTTTTTATTGTTAACTGTGTATCCACAGGGGAGAGCCACTCTCTACATTTGTTCCAGTGAGCACTGTCACTTGTACTAAAATTAGGATAACATTTTAAGTTGTCAATGGGACAAGAATAGAGGGGAAACCTTCCAATGAGTACACATCTTCCAGTGACAATAGAGTAGTTCCCATCCTTTAAAGAGATCTCCGCTCACTTTTTAGAGTGACTCAAGACAAGTAATGAAGGGACATCCACCCAATGGGACACAGGTGGCAAAAAAACCTCTGAAAGGGGCTTTAACTATTTCTTACTCCAAAATAAACAAAAAAACAAAAACTTTGGAAAGCACAGGGTTTTGTAGACAGGGTTCTATAAAAAAAGAGAAGTAAAGCAGTCTGTGAATCTAAGGAATAAGGGGCAGCACAGTGGCTAAATGGTTAGCACTTCCACCTGGCAGTACTAGGGTTGTTGGTTCAGATCCCAACCATAGCACCACCTGCCTGGAGTTTGCATGTTCTCCCTGTGCCTGCATGGGTTTCCTCCAGGTACTCCGGTTTCCTTCCACACGCCAAAGACATGCTGGTAGGTTAATTGGATCCTGTATATGTAAATTGGCCCTAGTATGTGTATGTATGAATGTGAGTTAGCAACCTTAGATTGTACACCCATTGAGGGTTAGGGACTGATGTCAATGTAAATCTAAAAAGGGCTGCCCTAAGCACATAGGAGAAAGGACATGAGACAAAGTGGGAGAAGGGTTAAGAATAGGTGGGGAGTAGTCTAAGGATATGATGTGGGGAGCAGGGAGGATATGGTCATAGCTTAAGGAAACCTCAAGGAAGTACAGACAGCATGGCAAGCAACTTGGAACTCAAAGCATGCTATTGGTTGGCACTGTCAAGGACCTGGCTTTAATGGTTGTATCAGAATTTTAGTATTTTTTTGAAGAATTGGTGTCTAAATCATGTTATTGTTATCTTGTTGTTTAATAAAAGCTGTGGCCATATTACTCCAATGAAAATAATTTGTGTCATATTGTATTATTTATGAGTTTAAATGTGTTTGATTTTGATGTTCAATATAACTTCACCCTTTTAGCCCTACCTGAATCAAATCTTTGTAAATACTACATATCTAGCATTGTAAAATGATGACAATAAAGATAACATTTCAGAACTAATGTCAAACAAAAATGTTAAATGTTTTAAATAAAATGAATATACATAGATGAAATCTTTAATTCTCACAGTGTTGCCTTCAAATCGTGCACACCGTTTATTAAATAATTCTCTAAAAAACAGAAAAGGAATAAACCCATGGCTATTAATTATACAATCCATGCAATGCAGGCAGCAGCACATTTCACTGAAATTGGCTTTTAAAATTCATATTTTTTTTAGAGACACCCTTATTTTTATATTTCCATTTATTAATTACAGGAATTTATATTGTGCCAACAATTTACGGAGCACTTTACAGACTGTAGAAAGTTTACATTGTAAGGTCCCTATGCCACATGCATAAACTAAGGCCAATTTGGAAAGCAGCCCATGTATTTGGAGAGAAAACCCATGCATGCACAGAAAGAACATGCTAGCCCCATGCAGATAGCATCCTGATGAGATTCAAACTGGGGACTTCAAAAGTGCTAACCACCAAAAGCGTGTAACTTATCACCAGGGGCGGACTGACAACTCATGGGGCCCCCGGGCAATAGGGGATCATGGGGCCCCTGTGTCCTTGCCCAAACTCAAAAAAGTCTATGAAAAAGTTACCAGGGGCATCTCATGGAGCCCCCTACTGACCGGGCCCTCGGGCAGTGCCCGAGTTTCCAAATGGTCAGTCCACCCCTGCTTATCACTGTCCTGATGGGTGCTTGCATTTTGGAAAAATCCCACCAACCTGGGAATATACTGATGCTACTAACCAGTCTGGTAAGCACTGACAGATAAAGGAGACTTCACTATACTGCTTAAAGTGAATCTCTAGGACCAGAAATTATGAATTTGTCATTGATGACATGAGCTCCTCTGCCATCATCCTCATCCTGGGATCACTTCCTGAACAAATATGCAAGTTCAGATTTCTCAAACTTCCCTGACTGTAATCTTGTTCCAGGTCAGTGAGTCCCAATGATGGAGCCAGTAACAGGATGAAAGTCCTGGAGCTTGCTGTTTAAAAACAAAACATAATGACAGCTACCATATTTTTATTCTCACAGGCTTTCAGCTCAATACTGCTCAACTGGTGGCCCATCAACATACCAGGAGTGTCAGAGAGCAGAAAAGTGTGCCAATTGTGAAGTATAGTATTTCATCCTATTCACTGGCCTGAGACAAACTGAGAGGGCCCAGTGCAAGTTGATTTTTCTTCTCTTTAAACAGCAACATGTTACATAACCATGTAATATAGTATCTCATATAGTATTTTTTCCTATTACTTCAATGGTGGCCAAAAAGGCACCCATTATGGAACATGTCTTTTATAATTTTCTAAGGTCAGTTTGAACTGTCATGTAGACCTGAGAGCTTTATCTTTTGTAGGGGTATTGTATGTTTAATGTTTCCTTTCACTCCCTAAAACTGTAATTAGTTACAAAAATAATTGCTATCCTGCCAAGCTACATATTTTTCTTTTACCTAAAGAGCACACTTTTTAAAATGAAATATGGCTGATAGGCCGTTATTTGAGCAACTTTATTCTAAATGAATTTAAAAGGAGCTGCAAGGAAAAAAAGTGAATAGATCATTCATGTATTTAGGGCCATGACATGTGTAATGTACACAATATCTATCTATATCTATACATCCTAGTTAATTTGTATAAAGGAAACCTGTTATGAGAAAAGTATGTCTTGCATTTTCTAGTCACCTTGTAAAAATACTAGCTGCCTAGTTGTCTCTGGCCTTAACACCTAATTATATACTTGTTATTATGTAGCAACAAAAGTCACAGAAAAGTAAGAATTTGAGATGTCTATACTTGATTTAGGCTGGTGAGTCAAGTAGGGGAGTAATGAGCTCTACACTGAGCACAAAACAGTAAGATCTAAAAATTGAGGCTCTTAGATACTTCACCCTTAAGCCTATTACACACGATCAGAAAAATCGTACAAAAAATACAGCTTTCGAATCGATCATACGATAATCTGATCGTTAGTACACAGCTTTCGTCCAAAATTATTTGAAGGGGCAAGTATGCAAATTTTTCTCATATGCTACCAGATCATATGATTTTCATTTAATCAGTACAGTTTTCATCCAAAAATACAATACAAATACATTACATCACTTTCCAATTTTCTTTCCGTCGTACAAGAATTTTCGGAACTTTAGTAACCTTTTCACTTTCAATAAGAGGCTAGCATGCAAAAAAAAAAGGACAAAATAAGAACAAAATAAGAGTGGTCCAGCGAGCACTAAAAACAATGAAAATATAAGCAGCTGATACACTAAAAGGAAACCTTAAAACCTCTCAAGCATACAGAATATGAAAAAAAAGGACAATCATCCCTTCAATATTCCCCTCATGTGTACAGGGCTTTAGAATGATGACAGACCCCTGGGTACAATAAAAGCAAACAAAGGTAAACAAACCACACCTGTGAATGGTGGAGATCCAAAGATAAAGGAGACAGAGACCTGAGAAAATTGGTTGCCAAGGCACATTTCTTTCATAGTTTGCTATAAATATTACACAGCTTATGTAATTATATTAAACCATCAAAAACTGACATGGACAACACTGAATTCCAAGAGGAGCTGAACTAAGGAAGCTGTGCCCAAAACGTCAAGGATAAGAGACTAATCACCAGGGTTACCTAAAGGGTTCTTGCAGGTGATTTTTTCCCAAATGATTGACTTACCATAATGATTGCACACCAGGTCCTGCATTTTGTGGCACATTTAGAAAATGCAAGCAATGTTGTGGCTCACAGGGTTCCTCTGCTTAATGCATAATACACTCATGTCATTGCAGGAAGGCCAGTTTAAGATTCATTGTCCCATCAAATTTATATACGGATTCATCCACAAAATGTTTTTAAACAATAATGTACTGTATGACCTTGAACTATGGCCAACACATTTAGAAGGGCCAATAAGGTGTGGTTAAGCCAGCCCACTTCAGAATAAAAGCAGGGTACAGTCCGGCTATAGTTTTAGTAAAATAGAAAATTTTTCAGGAAAAGCATAGGGAGAGGCTGAGAAACTGCATAGTGAGAGATTAAGGTAAATTAGGAAACTGTACTTTAATTCTGTTTCTTAGCTCTTTCAAAAATCAACCCCTTTTTCTGCCTCATTGTTTCTATATTTTGTTTTGTCTTTTATTTTTTGGTTCATTTGAGGTCAGAAGTCACTTTGAATTGCTGTTCCATCCATAACAAACATATTTTTCCTAGTGCCTACATGACAACATGCTAGGTACATATATTTACAAATTGAAAAAAGATACACATCCACCTAGTGCTTGGCAGTAGTGATATATTTTTGGATGAAATGGGTATGGAATAGAATGATTTTAACAATTGTATTTTATAAATGTTGCATTTTGTCCTACCACATATTGCATTTGTGGGTCCCACTATGGTGCATGGCATGGCAATCAGGAGAATAAAAGTCCCATTGTAAAGAAACTGTACCTGGGGTACTGAAAGCATGATCTTTTTGTCTAATGAGAAGGCATTGGTGTTTCTTTGCAACATATTATACAGGTATATATCTTACTAATATGCAGTCAGCAATTACAGGATTTTCTGGGATTTTAAAATTCAGTGCTTACAATATATTTTTTACTGCTACGTTTGACTAACTGTTTTTAGATTTAATGAACCTGATGATACTATTGTAACTAGGACTTTTAGAAAAGCAACTGTGGGTAACAACATTTACATGCTCAGAGTTACCATTCAAGAAAATTGATAGTATCCTATTTGGACAGTATTTGCATTTAAAATGAAACAGTACAAAAGAATATTATTATTATACAGTATTTATAAAGCGCCAACATGATTTCTAACAAGAGGCTACAAAATGTAAAGGTCACTTCTTGGCAGGGGTTACGGCAAAAAGTCACTTAAACATGCCTATAGAAAAGCTAGGAATAGCCCTAAATCCTTACTACTATATCAAAGTGATCATCTAAGCATATTTAAAAAAACACACGTATTAGTACAAAATATAATTACAGCTCTGTTTTTGGGAGTATTCTTCAGAAACATTGGTGACTATTGAGCAATGACAAGTTTCAAAGTTTATTGACAACTTAATTTTCAAGAAAGACTCATCCTTACTGTAAATTTGTATGCTTTCATAAAAACATTATGCTTCCTAGTGGCAGACTTTACCAGGATGGACACGTTGCCAACTTTCAGACAATAGGCATAGTTTATTTATTGATGTGTCCATGCGGGGCATTCTACATAGGGAAGACCAAAAATCCTTTATGAAAGAGGATCTATGATCATACAAATGCCACAAAGAATGGGACTCTGAAAACACCTATAGGCAATTTTGTTCCACCGCAGCTACAGGACAGATGGCCATCTTTTTTTAGTCTTGGATAAAGTTCATCACAATCCACACTCTATGTAATTATTTTTGATGATTATAATAAGTTTATTTTACAGAAAGGAATCAAATGTATTTTTGATTTAAAAGCTAATTTGCCACCAGGCCTTAATGAATAGCTTTTATTTACTCTTACTTATTTTTTGTAGATTAATTATGGGGATTCTTTGTTAAGTCCTTGTTTTTGAACCTTACTAGATATGTGTGTCCAATTTTAATTTTCCCCATTTTTAACTCCTTTCCCCCTCTTCCCCCTCCCCTTTCTTGACCTGGAGCGCACATAGCTTGGCTTGGTCCAAAAGCTGGAAGTGATGCTTTTGTTGGGTGGGTCATCCAGGGGATAAAAAGGAAGTGAACACAATGGGGAAATTGAGTTCCTCACTAGTTCCTGCAAGGGCGGTGTGTTGCAATGAGGCGTCACTAGGTGCAATTTCTGTGTCCCAGGAAACATTATGATAATACACTTTAGGGTGCCTTCTGTTTTCCTTCCCTCTTCTCCTTTAGGGATATAAAGCACTATCTCTCCAGCACCTCAAAAAAAAGGGGGGTGAATGCCAGGAAGAGGCCAGGGAATTCAATGAGTTGATAGCCTATGGATAAATTCTTGGTGGTGCAGCCCTCCTCAGACTGGGAAATCATCAAAACTGGAAAGGAAGCACACAGATGGCGCAAACACCTAGCGCATTATCCAAGGTTTCTTGTAAAAGAAAAAGGACAAAAAACATATTCACAAAATTAAGTGAATTCAAAAGCCTAAACGCCACAATGATGGCCAACAATGATGGCAGAATGTCCGACAGGTGGTACGGTTGGCCTGTTGATGCATTTCAAGGGCTGAAAGGTTAAGCTCTGAGGAAGGGGATACATCCCCAAAAATTCGTCAGAGTGCCATCTGTACCACCAGTTTAACATTCTGCCATCATTGCTGGCCGTCATTGTGGCATTTAGGCTTTTGCATTCACTTAATTTTGTGAGTATGTTCTTTGTCTTTTTTCTTCCTTTAGGGATATAGTATCGGAAATGTCCTTGCTTTTAAGTTTTATCCTATTCAACAGGATGTCTGAGGCCTTTTCTAGGCTGTTACTCTATACAGGACAAACAATATTAAAGCTGAGGCTAAAATCAGTGTTATTCTCCTCTTTATTTGGTTTCATAGGTGGGTCCTACGGTATGTGTAATCTGTACTTTGTATGAACATTTACTGTTTGAACTTTCTCATTCTTTAAGATTATGTCAATCCCAGCTGTTCCATAAAGACATGTATCTGTTGTTATTCCACCAATAACTTTGCAGGCCAGATGAAATTTGTTTTCATCCTGAAACATGAAGATGCTCTGAAAGTCTTCTGGCATATTTGAATTTTTGTG